ATCATTCTAATATGCTGATTTGCTGCTTGAGAAACATTTCTGATTATTATCAATGTTGAATGTTTTATGGAAACTGTGATGCATTATTTTTCCACGATTCTTTGAATAATAGAAAGATCAAAAGAACAGCCTTTATTTGAAATAGAAATCATTTGTAACATACAAATGTCTTTTACTGTCCCTTTTGATCAATGCATCTCTGCATTAAAGTAAAAAATAAATATAAACCAACCTCAAACTTTTGCATGGTAGTGTATATACACACAAACATACACATGCATCTATATATATATATATATATGGGACATTCTACCAGAAATGTACATTTCCACTTGTAAAAATAACAATTTATTAAAATTCCATTTAACAATAACATGGCCAGATACAAAAAAAATAAACAACTAGAATTGCACAATGGCACAAATGCAGACAGGAGTGAAAACAATAACCCCGTGTTGTGCTACGTGTACGCAGGTGTAATAGGAAAGCTGTAGGTCCAATTTGGCTGGGGACAAGGACAAGAACAGGATTTGTTATTTTCAAAAGTGTTTTTAATAAATTTAAAAATATCTGAGAACCTAATGAATCACATTTTTTGGATGTAATACTTTTTATTCACTGTAACAAGACAAGGACAAATAATGTACATTTCTGGTAGAATGTCCCATGTATTTATGTACACTGCCTCACAAACACACATTTTTGGCTTTCAGAGTGGAAACAGCAACAGCTGCAGATTAGAGAGTATTCAAAGACTAGCGTGACACGGAAATGCCAATATTACCGACCGAGAGAGCCAAAAAAAGACGATTGTGAAGTGCGTATTTGATCCCAAAGCCATATGAGGACAGACGCTCTCAAACACTAACATACTCTGAAAAAAGATGAAACATAGTTCACGGTCAAAGAAAGCAGAAAATCCACTGACATGAGGTTCAGCGCCAATGAATTTATCATGTTTCCCATATCATACCACATGAAATACAAGTCAATATTAATGAGGCTGTTTATGACCTGTCATTACTGATAAACATACACTGTAAAAAATGGCCGTGAATTTAACGGTAAAAGACTGTAAAAATGCTACAGTAAAAACCTGTTAAATGGTTAACGGTAAATTCC